GAGGATAGATGTAGATGTCTATGGGCCACAGCAACCACTTACCATCTGGTGGACTGTGTGCTCGTTTGTCACCCTATCCTATAAAAAAGAACAAACAGGTTTATATGAAGTAGCAGTAGTAGCTTAGTAAATTAGCTTCTCAATTGGTCTTTATGTCTTAACTTTTGTTTATGAATAATTGCAATGACTTTATTTGAAAACGTAAGTTAAACTTCAGGGAGGTACCATATAAATTAGAAGAAAAACTTTCACCCATGGAAATTTGAATGTGTTATTTCATAGAATTGCTTAATGTGTTAGGATACTTTGCATACTTAATATAATCCAAAGCCAAAAGGTAGAAAAATAGGAAATGAAATCTATAATATAATCATTTAGACAACATTTTAGACTTTACTTTGAACTTGTGATATTCTTTTGTCCAATCAAAAGGATAAAAAGATAAAGTTTTAAAGAAAATTAAAATCTACCATCAGAAACTCAAAAGAATAAAATAATTTTTACATTGTAATAGCTTCTAAAGTTGAGTGTTTAATTTTTCAATACACTATGTGTTAACATCAGACACTGAGAACATGAAAATTATTTTATGTAAGAGTTTTGGTAATTGGTGTAAATTCAATGTTAACAGTAGTTATCATTATACATGTCGGCCTATTACTAGAAGAAAATATCATAGATTCAATTGTTATAGTGGGAAGGTGTGGAGTATGTAGTATATTATTGGATAGAAATTGATACTTAACATGTGTGTTACTTATTGTATTACATACACTTGCTAAAGTAATTGTTTGTAAAGTTGTCAGCCCAAAGGTTTACTGTTTAATGTTATTTCGTAATTTTTAAAGGTTACTTAAACAGTTACAGCTCTAATGTTAATATTACATGTGACAATGTATTGAGTACATGTGGCGCATAAGACTTTCTAGTGCCTGAAAAATTCACAAACAAAGCAAACTACAATACAATACAATAATCATAATTGTACATCAAGGAAAGATTATTATAACAAAATAATAATAATTTCCTCCAGACAAATTTGGTCACAGTGGCCAGACTCAATGGAACTAGTCAACTGTATAGGACAAGATTTTTGTGCACAAGTATGTGTGCAAACACATGTACATTTTGTATTCCTTCACTCTTATAGTCTGATGGGACAGCAATCCAACATGATTGGAGAGAGATCAGATGCAGGATCAATGTTTTGACATGCTTAGCTAAGCTTTAGCATTATGTCTTCTGTGGTATGGGTGAAACACCACCAAATTCCAGACTCCGTGCTGCTACTGTCTATAATAAACTATTTTGGCTCAACCCCGGGATTCAAGCCTGAGACATTATGATAAACAGTCTTGCATAATATCACTAGACTTCTTGTTGCTTCTGGGAATCTCTTAGACAACTGAAAAAAATAATTTAATAAAATGTTATTAAATTATTTTTTAATAATAAATAGTAATGCATAGGACATTGAAGGGGAAGGTTTTACTTGGACCCTAAGGAAACTACCATATATTTTTTAAATAATCTAAGCTGTAATATCTGAGTGAGAAATAAGTACAAGTAACTACTACAGAAAAGTACAGATTTACTTCACCTATAGGATTAACAGGAGAAGTTATTAATAGTGGTGGTTACTGAAGCCCTTGGACATTTACAACCAACTTTGCATGAAGAAGGCTACAGGTGTGATGCCATATCTGAGCCCTAACATGGAAGGCCTCATAGTTTGTAATCATTTTGATTTTCTATAACCACTCAAGCATCCACGGTGAGTGTAGCCCCCAAAAAAATTCTTGCCTCAACTGTCCGGGGTGACTGCAGTCCCCGAACGACATCGTTTGCTTTAAATGTGTACAGTGCTAAAGACCGATGTTAATAATACAGTAGAAAAATAAGAGATGATACTATTTGAAATTTGTCATCCATGACAGTGAATTTTATCTTTGCATTGGCAACAAAATATTCAGACAAAAAAGTGAAAATAATAGTTTGCCATTCTTGTTTGTGGACTGACAAGTGCGTGGAGCTTAATCAAAGATGTGATTAGTTTTCTGTTTTTGTATACATTATTTTTATACTTATTTGTATACATTATTTCTAATGTTATTGTACATCAAATTAATTGTGTGAAGATTTTTCTTAGGGAAATATGTATCATTACGAAAGTTCCAAAATGTTTACAGAGCATACACCCGGTTCCAAAAATACCGGGTATACCCGATTCTTTGTTAGCTAAAAGAACCAGGTCCAAAATTATGATACCCGGTTCGACCCGGTTCTTGTTCAGTGGGGTAAATTTAAACAATTTTTTTATTTGACTCTCTTATGTTATGGTTCATCACTAAAATATTGAAATACAAGACTTGACCAATGAAGAGCAATTGAACAGAGAACTAGAGAAAGTTATGACAGGGACAAACGGTGATAGTGTTGTTTTAGATGACGTCTCATGGTTACTATTAAATCAAAATGCAGATGTGTTACCACACGTAAGGACTAAGATGGAATGCCTCATTTCCAGTAAAAAGGGCCTCCGGTTCTCTACACTCACCATACGAAACACAGCAGCATTAAGCTACTATTTTACGCTGGTATTCTGTGAGAGTGTGGTCCTTCTCCGGTCGAGCCGACCCATTCATGCTACAACTATACTACTAATATAACTGCAGCATGGCTCTATCACGTATATTATTTTTGTTTGTTTGATTTTATAAGAATGATAGACAGAAAGTGTTGATTTTTTTATTACTATCAGAGAATCCCAAGACTGTGAGAAAATCGATCTGGTTGATTTCGTTTCTTTGATTTTATTTCATTTGTTAATTTTTTGAATTATTTTACAAAATTTTATTTGTATGAAGCTAAGAAGACAAGCTTGTTTTTTGTTGTTTTATATATAGATGATATTATAATAATTAGAATTGCAACACAAATTGATTAAATACACATCACTATCATCATTAGCACCAAATTAATGTACTTTTATTTTGCCCTAAGGATTTTTTTACTATTAAGAATCGAAAAGAACTGGGTACTCGGTTCTGTACGGACCCGGGACCGAAAAACCAGGTTCTTAGATATGGGCCGGTTCTGCATCCTCTAGTTTACATATAATAATTTAGCTCAAAATTTTAAGTTGTTTTTGTTAAACAAATGCTAAATATAAATTAATACTTCACTTGATACTTATTTAAAGTCATTTTTTTATTTACCACTGGCTCGGAAAATACCTCTGTCCTGGAAAGAACCATCAAAAAACCCAGAGGGACTTTTTAAAACATATTATTATATATCACCTTACAATAATTTTGTTTGTACAATTTTTAAATGAATTTAAATAGAACCAGCATGGTGATGGTTATTTTCATTTATGTATTCTTTAATATTATTATAACCTTTTTTGTACAATTTTTTATAATAAAACATTTAAACTTGTTTATTAACAAATTTTGTACATTTTCTGGAATTTTGTTATTAGTGTATATACATTGCTGAATTACTAATTCTGTAGAGTCTAGTAACTCTTATTACAAGTGTACGTCTATTCGTAATGTTTAAAGTATGAACATCTTTATTCTTATGAAAGCTGTTTAAATTTTTATGCACATACATTACATTTTCATAAATATATTGCAATGCCAAAGTTAAAATGTTAATTTCTTAAAATTTTTACAATTTATTTAAGTTATAAATCACCTGTAAGGCTTTCTTTTGCAGTTCAGTAGATTATAACCAATTTTCTTGTTAGATATTATATAATGTACTTCAAAATGGAAAAACAAGACTATATAAGTTGGTCATGCTGTTAGTTATGACAGGAATCTGAGATGTGATCCTTCAGTACAGGGCTGATATGGAAGTTCAATATTGCACAGCAAACTAAGAAGAGGCCTGTGCTCAGTTTCTCTGGGTGAAAGTCTTCATAATGAGGATCTACAGTAGAAACAGGGTAACTTACACAGCTCACAACAGATCTGTAAGCTGAAATGGCAATGGGTCAGACATTGAGCTCGAAGACCAAACCAAACATATGAAGAACTAGCAACCCATATGGAGGAAGGTTAAGTGGTAGAATTGTACCGGTAAGCAAATTGTATAAGATCCCCCACTAGGTAAGGGAGTGGCAACCTGGTAAAAGATTTCATAGTCTGGACTTTGGACTTGATTGATGTTCAGGAGTAAAAATAAATTCACCAAATGAAAAAGAATTTAAATATACAAATTTCTTTTCAAACGTCCATTTCCTTTTATATAAAATATTAATGAAAATTATATTTTATATCTATTATTATCACTAATGCTTATTACAATGTTATAACAAGAGTGACCAGCAAGAATATGATCAAAAATGACTATGATCAAATATGAATAGACATTTCTAATGTCCTCTAGCCACAGCAGTAGGATAACTCTTATTTTAGGTACTTTTTTTATTGCAGGATATTATTTTATATTATTTATATTATTTTGAATAATTTTATATTATTTATATTATTTTGAATAATTTGCACAATTTATACAGTAAATTCTTCACACCTTAACTTCAAGTTAATCAAAATCTTATCAATGAAATCACTGTTGCAATCACTATTTTTGCGCTATTAAAACTAACAAAAAGTTACAGCAGCAATTTAAAAAAAATGGGTTGAAAATGTTTTACGCCCTAAAAGCGTGTTATAATTATACAAGTGGGATAAATATCCTGATTAAAAAGAATAAATTTTTATTTTATTCACTTCAGTCATTAAAATTTTAACATTAAATTTGCAAAGCTATACATATATGCCTAACTTTTAATATTTAATATAATTCGTCTGTTAGACACATGGGCACAGTATAGATAACCTGGATCTGTAGCAGAAATTTTAGGAAATACCATAACATAAAAATATTTATTTAAAATAATAAGAAAGCGATTTTATTATTACAGTAATCACTTAATTTTTTCCTAAATAATAGAACGAATGCATTGCTTATGATAAGAAAGTACTTACTCTTAATCGTGTAAGACTTCCATCCCGTGCAGCGTTGAAAACGGCTGTTTTGAAATCCATATTTGTTCTCTTCGTATTTCTATAATCACAATAATCGAATTGACACTTTATGAACAGCACTTTCTTCTGAAAATAATCATTGAAAACGCACTCTTTCACGAATATCGAAGCAACCAACTATTTTCTTTCAAAACACTCCGGCACTGCACTCTACGATTGAACAGCTGCGCGACGACGACAATCACAATCTGCCATTAAAATGATAAAAATAAAAACTATACTATAAAGTCAAACCGAAAACTCAAAACGAAGAGGGCGCTGTAAAACAACAGTGTGACCAGTTCTTGAATCTCCCTAAATGATAGCTCATAACCTCATAACCCCTAAAGCTTCGAAACCGTAGACAGAGAATCCTATCTCTGTCTACGTTCGAAACTGATAATTTGTTTAACATTAAATAAAATAATAAGAACAATGTAAACACTATATAAAATTTTGGTTAAAATTAAGAGATTTTGGAACAATATTCTTATATTAAATCAAAATACTATTTTTGTTAACATATCAATCTCAATATTTAAAAGTAAATTACGACTGTATTAAACTTGTTACGAAGAAAGCGAAACAAATGAATGGAAAAGAGAGGGGGGAAATCAAAATTTTCTTTCAACAAATTTTTTGAAGTGAAAATTTCTTTAACATCGTGATTTGAAACTGGATGAAAAGAAAAAGTAACAGTGAAAAGAGACAGACACATAAATTCATAAGATTTAACGTGGGAGAAAATGAGATAAGAAACATTATTTTTTTAGGAATAGGGTGACAAGCGAGCACACGGTCCACCTGATGGTAAGTGGTTACTGTGAACCATAGACATCTACATCTATCCTCATTTGCGAATCAAAATGCAGATGCGTCGTCAGCTTTGAGGACTAAGACGGAATGCCTCTTTTCCAGTAAAAAGGGTCTCCGGTTCTCTACACTCACCATACGAAACACAGCAGCATTATAAGCTGCTATTTGACGCTGGTATTCCGTGAGAGTGTGGTCCTTCCCCGGTCGAGCCGACCCATTCGTGCTACAACTATACAATTAATATAGCTGCAGCATGGCTCTACCACGTAAAAAATTACAGATTATAGCTCAATGTTCGCGAGAAAAAAGTCGTAAACGCCGACGAAACGGCGTCGCTTACGTGTTTTGTTCAACAAGGTACGAACTGTGATACGAAGGTGTCGTGTGTCTACGGATTAAACAAGCAGTTAAGAACGGCCAACCTCAACTTCGTAATAGGTAAAATTGATGTGAATCTTTTTGTAATTAGCGAGTACCATATAAGGTATATTGAAAAGTGTAATACAATATCTGTGTCTAATATATATATATATAGGATTGTTACATTTATTTACTATAAAATTATATATTCTTATATTTTATGACAAACTTGTAGTCAATCAATTCTCTAAATATTCATATTTCTTCATTTGTAGATATGAAACAAAAAGTATGAGATAGCGGTTTTTATGGAAAATTTTAAACTTTCTTAAGGAAAAACTTAATTGAAATTATTTAAATCTTTTCAAATATTAATTTCACTAAAAAATAAAGTAAATGATAAAAATTAGTTAGCTAAAAATGCTTTATACGCGGATATAAACTTATTAATTTTTATCATCATTTGTACTTTAATGTATTTCTGAAAATTAGGTAATGCCCGGTTCTATTAATTATTTCAACATAGAGCTAAAAAAAGTAACAGGGGCTGACGCCGGCTAAATACAACCATACGAGTCTACTCATAGAAAAAACATGTAATGTTATTGTTAAAAAACGTAACTTATATAATATCGTAGACAGAGAAACCTATAGACTAATGATTAGCGTGGCCTCAAGTGTGAAAGGACGATCACGTAGTTTTAGTTATACAATAATCTTTATGACTTTTAAACATATTTAGATAAAAATTTTAATTGTTCTAAGAACTGAACTGAACAAGATTCACCAATATTAAGCTCACAAAACACTTTTTCCTCACTTAAACCAACTTGTAAGCTCCTTAAATCGAACGAACGGTCAAAGTTGTTTGCAAAGTGTAGTTTGCTAAACAAAAATCCGGCACGGAGAAAGGGACAAACAATCACACCGCTCTGTCTTATTTCTATGCAAGACGTATGCATAAATCTATCTTTTTCGTGTGTGAATGCGAAAGAAGGCGTCAATTTGTCTATAGGTTTCTCTGTCTACGTTATATATAATATGTCCATGATTCCATGAAGTATGGAGTGTAAAAGTAAGGAGTACCAACTCCGATAGTAGAATAGTTGAAAAAGTGGTCATCTGTAAGCAGTAAATAACAGTTCAAAAACTCTCCGCAACAGCGCTGGAGTAGCTACTGGGATGAAATGAACTTAGCAGTTGTCGACGGTTTAAGTGTGCTGCTAAACTGCTCGGAAGCTCTAAAATCTAAATTAATTTTATTTTATTTAGTAAATATAACCTCGAAAAAGTCGTCTATCCCACTAATATTTTTCGGTGCGTTCTTTAAAATTTACCCCGTAGCTATAGTGGCGCCACCCTTATTTATAATATTATTTACTATTATATACCCTTATTCATAAATAGTTTTTCGCAGTTTTTTGGACACTTTTTAATACAAAGTCTGTACTCCTTACTTCTACACTCCATACCATGAAGGTTAGAGATCAGGATAACGATCACCACGTACTAAAGCATAGCCCGCCTGTCCTTGAAAATTGTAGAATTTATAGTGAGTAGTGACCGCGAAGTTAGCTGTTTATGAGTACAAGTAGATGAAGTTAGTTGAATAATGTACAAATTTTCTCCGCGCCATTGGTAAGAACATTTTCATGCTCCATAATTTTATAATTTAACAAAAAAAAAACATCAAAAAATGGAGAAATATTTTCTTGTGCGTGGATTTGCAAGTGGTTTAGCATCTGATCGGAAAAATAGACTGAAAATGACTTTTATTGACCGAACTTAGCGATCGCAGCGCCTCACTTATGGTGTCCATATTTCTGGGACACTATTTTCTACGGCGAACGTTCTCTAACCTTCATGTAATATGTCTATGAACGTACCTTTTATAGAGTAAAGAGGTAAGGAGAACCATCTCACATAGGATAATAGGTGAAAACTATGGGTGAAAAAGTGTGTGAATTAGTAAATATAACCTAGAAAAAGTCGCCGTGAAACACATTGATAATGATTATAAAAATAAAAATTAAGAAAACAATAAAATAATTATTATAAAATAGAATTACGGTGAAAGTGTGTGCAATAAAAAGTTATAAAGTTCTCTTCCAAAGAATTTATTAAAATCATATTAGTAGAACTGTCGGAGCATCAAGAACAAGAAATCTGAAATAATTAATTTGTCAAATTTTATCAAATTTGTGGTTTTTCCTGCATCCGAGACGCCCGCAGCGATGGCTACGGCGGCCCTATACTTCTAAATAGAAATATTACCTCTTGTTTAATTGCGCATTCCGCACTGCAAGAGAATATTAATACAACAGCTGTAAAAATAATGGACGTCCCAATTGTGTCAATATATATTTCCAACCCTACTCCTGACTGTATTCCAGAGTGAAGCATAGTATATCTCGTCCTTTTATTGTAATTGGGGACTTCAATAATCACAACGTACTATGGGGCTCTCATAAAAATGATTCTTTTTCCTATCTATTAACAGTCGTCTTTAATGAATTTAATATTTGCATTCTGAGTTATGGGTCTCTCATCCGTATGGTCTACCCTTCCCAAAATTCTAATTTTATTGTAGATCTATCTCTCTGCTCTGCTAATTTAGACGCAAGTATCAATTGGAACACTGTATCGTCCACCTTCGAAAGTGATGACTTCCCTATCATTTTTCTTTGTATATAAATATTGTTACGAGCTTGGGGTTCGTGACAATAAAAATTGCCGATAAAATTACCTAAATTAACACTTTAATTTACTTTACACAAATTAAAACTAAAAACACTAATAATTAAACACACTTAATTCCGCTCCGAAGCTTCGCTTGTGTCGCCGAGTTCAACTCTGCCCCGATCGCATCTTGCAGCGCCTATTTATATAATTAGCAAAGAAGCGTCCCGAACATTCAAGTAAATGCGCGCCAGGCAACGAGTATTCGAGTGTAGATTTTCCAGAAACTTAGTTCTTCGGGTGGCGCTGTCGGTCGAGTGATTTGTGATGTCATTTTCTCAATGCTCCCCTCGCTCTCGTTCCTGACACTAGATGGCGCTAGTGTATCGTCGACTTGAGCGCGTAACAATATTATATACTTGCGGAAGCCTTCCCACTAGGAATAAATCATTCATCTCCAAGTTTAACGTGTCCAAAGCCGATTGGGACGTATTTCTTTCTGATATAGAAACTAAAGCCCTCCAGTTTCTCATAATAACTTACAACATGCCTACTCTGATTTTATCTCCCTTTTGAATGAATCTGCTACAAAATCTATTCCCCTTAAAAATTTCCATAATAACAAAATTTCTTCACCTCCTTGGTGGGATGCAGAGTGCTCTTCTATTGTAAAAAACGCAAAGATGCTGAACAACAGTACTCTGTGAAAATGTCCATGAAAAACTTTATAAAATATGTAAAAATAGCAGCTCAGGCCAAAAAACATTCTCGGAGAAGAAGAAAAAAGTATGGCTTTTATTTTGTGAGAGTCTGTCGCCTCAATCTCCAATCTTGTTTGGAAAAACATAAAGCGATTTCATGGTTCTCTCAACGATAGCCAAATAAATAACCCTGACTCCTCACTTTGGATAGACAATTTCTGTAACAGCTTGTCTCCTTCATGGGTTCCCTCTATAGAGGAGATATTCCCAGTGACGTCCCCACCTTACCCTCTTTCTTATGACACAATGAATGATACATTCTCCTTCACAGAGTTTTAGTTAGTGTTAAACCATCTAAAAGACTCCTTTCCAGGTATTGACGAGATCCCTTACTCTTTTTTAACTCACATGGGCACATCAACACATCCAAAAATATTTTCTAAACATAATTAATTGTGTATATTC